CAGCTTCCTGAGCTGACGCAGGAAGTACATCCTCTGCTGGGCCTTCTTGATGATAGTGTCAGTGTTGGACTCCCACTTCAGGTCCTGGGATATAGTGGATCCCAGAAACCTGAAGGATTCCACAGCAGACCACAGTTTTGAGCGTGTTACGCTCCAGGTTGTTCTGACCGCACCAGAGAGCCAGCTGATCAACCTCCCGTCTGTAGGCTGACTCATCACCGTCCCAGATGAGGCCGATGACCGTTGTGTCGTCAGCAAACTTCAGGAGTTTGACAGATGGGTCTCCTGAGGTGCAGTCATTGGTGTACAGGGAGAACAGCAGTGGGGAGAGCACACACCACTGTGGGGGCGCCAGTGCTGATAGTCCGGGTGCTGGATGTGATCCACTGACAGGTGGAGGCTGGAACAGTGAGCTGGGTGAGTTTGGTGCTGAGGATGTCCGGGATGATGGTGTTGAACGCCGAGCTGAAGTCCACGAACAGGATCCTTGCATATGGCCCTGTAGGCAAACTGGGTCCAGCAGGGGGCCTGTAATGTCCTTCAGGTGGGCCAACACCAGTCTTTCAAAGGACTTCATGACTACAGATGTCAGGGCAACGGGCCTGTAGTCATTTAGTCCAGAGATGGAGGGGTTTTTTGGGGCCGGGATGACTGTGGAGCGTTTGAAGCAGGAGGGAACTTCACACAGCTCCAGTGATTTGTTGATGATCTGAGGGAAGATGGGGGCCAGCTGGTCCGCACAGATTTTCAGGCACGATGGTGAGACACCGTCAGGTCCAGGAGCCTTCCTGATCTTCTGCCTCTGGAACAGGTGGCTCACGTCCTGTTCACAGATCTTGAGTGGAGGTGAGAGGTCAGAGGGGGAAGGTGACTCTTTGAAGATGGCGTTGGTGTGGGGGAGAGGTGTGACTCTGGGCTTTTCAGACCTACAGTAGAAACCATTCAGCTCATCTGCCAGTCGTTGAGTACCAGCCGTGTTGGGGGATGGTCTCTTGTAGTTTGTGAGTGTCCGTAGGCTTCTCCACACTGATGCAGGGTCGTTTTCAGCATAGCACCTCTTTGCAGCTTTGACCTCTTTAGTCAGCGTGTTCCTGGCCTGGTTGTACAAGACTCTGTCCCCACTTCTGAAGGCCTCCTCCTTGGTCTGACGAAGCTGAGTTTCGCTGTGAACCAGGGTTTTTGGTTGTTGTATGTGCGGAAGGTTTTAATTGGCACACACACGTCCTCACAAAAACTGATGTAAGATGTCACAGTGTCAGTTAGTTCGTCCAGGTCAGTGGCTGCAGCCTCAAAAACACTCCAGTCAGTGCAGTCAAAGCAGGCCTGCAACTCCAGCTTTGACTCGTTGGTCCATCTTTTCAGTCTTTACAACAGGTTTAGCAGATTTCAGTTTTTGCCTGTGTGTCGGGATAAGATGAACCAGACACTGATCAGAGAGTCCAATGGCTGCACGGGGAACAGAGCGATAGGCATCCTTTAATGTTGTGTAGCAGTGGTCCAGTGTGTTAGTGTCCCTGGTGGGACACTTAATATGCTGTCTGTATTTTGGAAATTCATGACTGAGGTTTGCTTTGTTAAAGTCCCCAAGAACTATGAGCAAGGAGCCTGGATGTTTTTTCTCCACGTTAGTTATCTGGTGGCCAGGTGTAGTAACGCCTCACTAACACAGGCCTGAGGTGGAATGTAAACAGCGACCAGAACAAACGAGGAAAACTCACGCGGTGAATAAAACGGTTTACAGTTTATAAATAATGTCTCTAGGTGAGGACTGCATAATTTCTTCAACACTGTGACATCTGTCCACCAACCTTCGTTTATATAGAAACAGAGTCCGCCTCCCCGTGTTTTTCTCGTGAGGTCCCTTTCGCGATCCGCGCGGATGAGATTAAATCCCGGTAGGTGAAGTGCGCTGTCCGGGATGCGCTCGGTGAGCCAGGATTCAGTAAAACAGAGGGCAGCAGATCTGCAGAAGTCCGAGTTAGTTCTGTTGAGGAGCAGCAGTTCGTCCATTTTGTTGGCCAGAGAGCGGACATCCGCCAGGTGAATTGAAGGGAGCGCAGTGCGAAAACCCAACTGTCTCAGTTTAACCAGCGCGCTTGCACGTTCTCCACTGCGCCGTTTCCAAGGGATACCAAACAGAGCTGCTGCTCCTCCAACTAGTAACTCCGGGAAAGTTCCAGGGTCAATAAGGAGCGGTGGAATAGTATGAGCAGTTGAAAGTCCAATGTTTAAGAGCTCTTCTCTGGTAAAAGTTACCAGAGAGGGACGGCAGAAAACAGCGTTAATTCACAAAAACACAAACAGCACTACGGAGCGTAATCCCGAGGCGGCCGTCTGCAGCGCCATCTTGGTTTTATGTAATTTAAGTAGTTTTAGTAATTATTACTATTCTGATATAGCCATGTGCTTAGTAAATAAAAATGATTGACGTACAACATCAAAGTACAACAGACAACCAAATAATTAAATAGCTGATAAAAATAAGCACAGGAAACAGTTTTTAATATTGTTAATTTTGCCTTACCTCTGTCTGCTTCAGTAAAAAAATGGAAAGATTCAAAAACAAAAGAGTGAGCAGGATGATTAATGAATTCTTAAAAAGGTGATAATAATGTTTATATAGTCATCTACTTACTAAAAAACAGAGTACCAACAAATGAATCAACAAACATATCAGGTTAGCCAGAATACACAATAGCATATTATTACAAAATGCAGTAGGCCTATAAAATGTTATGTATGTCAGCTGAATGTAGGTAATTTTCTATCCAAGTCAGATGCTTATGTTCATGTTTTGGATTAGTGGGTTTACATTAATTGCAGGGTTGTTGTGTTTCATTCTAGTGCTGTCAGGTGTGGATCAGGGGACACAGGGTGCCATCCTGCTGCTGGGCCTGAAAGGAAAACACTTTGTTTTTTCTGTACTGCTCTTCCTCTGCTTCTCAGCAGCGACTTGCTTGCAGTTCTCTTCCCTGCTCCTCTTTGTGGAAGGGCTGAGGCCAGAAATTAGTGGAATTGGGTCTCCAGAGCTTTCTTCCTCTGAGATCTCCTTCACAAAACCTCCTTGGCCTCTTTGTACTGACCTGCTCCCAGCTCTCTTCCCTTCTTCAGAAGTTGAAGGAGCTGACTCTTCAGAGCTACTTCCCCCCATAAACTTTTGCTTACATCTCTTAGTCTGAGATACTGAGGGTGCTGTCAAGAAGTTGTCACACCCAGAGTCCTCTTAATTAATATTTAGGGAGTTCCTGATACTGTCCCAAAAGCTGCTTTTGCTAAACAGGTACCTGCAGGTGCCTGAAAATCAGTCTCTGAGCAGCCGAACAGTAACAGGAGCGACGACCGGAGCCCCAGCAAGACCAGAATGAGCTCCTGAGGAGATCCAGGTCTGACATTGTCGTCATCACCATCTTCGAACTCCTCCTCCTCCTGGCTTTCTGTCTTCAGCTGACCTATTGACAATAAAAGCCAAATCATAAAACTCACCTTCCTTGTCATCAGAGAAAAGTAGGAAGATTACCTCATCTTCTTCATACTCATTGTCCTTGTCACTAGAGAAGAGTTTAATGCTGTCTGAATTCTCAGAGGAGCCACATAAGGAGAAAACAAGATACATGCATATTAATAATTTGTTAATAATTGTTTGTTGTATAAATGTATTTACACATGAACAACACTTTGTTACTGCACTCTTATTTAAGCAGGCTCTCAGATCCATTTTAAGAGTAAAATGCAGCAGATTTAGGATTAAAGATTAAAGATTAATGGGACTGGACAAGGCAGCTGAAACAGTTATCTCCCCATCCATTGATAAGTCCTATGACACAAGGATTTTATCTCTGAAAGTGACTCCCAAAAGAAAAGTCTAATTGCAATGGCTGGATTAGTATAAGAGCCCATCCAAATGATTATTTACTCACAGCAGCAAAAAGGCTAACTTACAGCAACAGTGTCTGAAAACACCTGTACAGTGCGCCACAGATCACGTTCCACTGGCACTCACCATCAGTGTGTCTCTACCGCCGAAAGTGTGAGTGAAGAAATGGTCTTTAATCCATATAACACAGTTCCACGTAATAATCCCGTTTACATTCTTGTTTTCTTTTTTTAAACATTTTTGTTGACACAGATCACATTTAGCCAAAAAAAAGTCACAACTCCTCTGTATTTAATCATTTTAAATTATATAATAATAAATAAATATTATAGGCTTTGGTGTCCTGTTTAGTAAACAGTAATAGATTCTGGAAACTCACAAACAGCAAGGATCAGTCTCTCTTCCAGTGATTTGCGTGTGGCGTACAAAAAAGTTCAAGTGGTACGTGAGACGAGCACCACCATGACAGTTTTGTATAAAGAAAATTTACCCCGCTACGCCTTGTGCTTGACCACTTCAACTCACTCTAACTTGCTACTGAACATAGACTGTTTATGCTGCTCCCAGATAAAAGAAAAAATGTTCTGCTAATACCTGTTCAGAAACTTACTCCCAACTGTCTTTGTCTGACACATGGGCAGCTCGAATCAGGAGATGTTCCTCACATGGGTACAAGGTAATCAAAAGAGTTAGACTGCTCTCTTCTACAATATTAAAATTGTGGTTTTGGATTTAATGAATTAATTTCATTTTATATTTTGTATTATTTATTCTGAGGGCACATTAAGAACCGCCATCAGCTGCTGCAGGATCAGGGACCCTTTTTTATGAACACACACACGCTTGTACACTTTCATTCAACTCTCAAACTCAGTTTTTGTCATCATATCATATTATTTATTATTCTTTCTACATGATATATCTATATGGCCTACATGCAGTCAGGCATAAAGTGTGGACTGTGGTCATGCACCAGTAAACTCGCGTTGGATGTTGTAGACTCCCGTACAGTAGGTGGCAGTATGCACCTCAGCTCTCTATTGGGTTGCGACAAATTGACAGGACGAGGCAGACATCATGATAAGTGGGGATAAACAAACAAAAATGAGAAGAGTGCGAGGTGAGTCAGTGTACTCCTTTGACATCAAAGTGTGTGTGAACCTTTCACAGCTATAAAAGTGGCTCTGACATGGTTCATGAAAATGTTACGCGACGTTCAGCAAAGACCTTAACGAGTAACGTTGGACAACTAGCGATATTTTGTTGTAGCATGTAGCTTATATGACGTCGGGGATTCAAACGCCGTTTTCAACTTAAAGAAAGATCGACTATGTGGGTATTAGCTGTTAAACTGTATTTTAACAGTAGGCCTATGTGCTTTAGTTACAACAATGATATTTAACCCCCCCCCATCAAATCTGTGGCATGTTAGCAGGTTGCAAATGCATCATTTGTGCATACCAAACAGAGGTGAGTATAGGAGAAAGACTTGCCCTCCTTTGTATGTCGTTGTTGATGTGCTTGTGAATGTTTGTCTACCCTAAGGTGTGTGAATGAGTGATTGGGAGCTGGGGTGGATGGGAATATGTCGTAGGTGTGCTGGGTGTGTTAGACTTGGTATAATTTATTATTAACAGAACTTATTCGCTTTAACTTTTAGGTTACCCTTTGTCAATCTATTTCTGTTAAATTCTGTGCAACAAAAATTCGGGGGAAAGGTGAGCACCCAAGGCTGCCAAAACAAATAATTAACAAAACCAACCAACCCACTCATCTACAGGAGATAAAACAGGCTGAGAGCAGAGTTCAAAAAGAAATGCACTGTCACTCTCATGTTCTTTCCACTGTTTAAGAAGTACGGTATATTCTAATATTTAACGATATGGAGACAGAAAAAAGATTTTTATATTTAGTTGAATACTTGCACTGAAGACTAAAGTGCCATAAATGCCTATTCTGGAGCTTTTCAAACTTTTTCTGTTCTGCTTTTTTTTTTTTCAGGAGCCCTGATCTAACGTTAATGGTGAAAGTGAAGAAGTGAGAGAAGTTTTTACATAATGGAGGCTGTAGCTGGCTTCCTAAATGTATTCCACATCAAGACCAGTGGATTGTCTGTGTCACTTAGCCTCTTCCTCATTTTTCTGGGTCTTCTCTACTGGTGAGTAAATGCTTCAATTTCCCTATCTGTTTGTAACGCTTCAGCTGCTGTGAAAATGAAGTCAATAATTTAATCTAAAAATAACATAAAGAACATTCTTTTTAAATGATGGGGATATGTGAGGCTTCATTCTTCACTGTGCTTTTATTCTTTTCATTCATCACTTATCAACACACCTCTGTGCTCTGTTATCTAGGTATTCAGTTTACCCCTTTTCGGTCCTTTCTCGATGTGGCATCAAACATCCAAAGCCACTACCTTTCTTAGGCAACATATTCATGTTTCGCCAGGTAAGATATTGCTATAATTTCCGTCAAACTGAAATTTAATTCCTGTCTGTAAAATCTGTTTGGACATTTTACCCATTGATGTGACAAACATCTTTGCAACATATTACAACACTTTTACACATTTTTGCATTGAAGAAAACTCAAAAGCAGCAATATATGTTGTACTGTTCAACCCCCAAATAAGTTAACGTGTTAATAATTTTTATTTTTGTGACAAGGTCTTCATGATTATTCAGTACTGTGTTTTACTGAGAAGATCATTTTTCTACTTGATCAAAATACATCATTTTTAATATTTAAAGGAAAAAAAATGCACTCTGTTTTCATTTAACATTAAATAATGATGCTCCGTGTTTTCATGGAACACAGATGTGTCTCTGCACAGCAGATCCTGATGTGATCTAGTTACTCAGTTCACACTTTCAACAAGACACGTGCACCCATACAAATAAATAAACCCATGCACAGGTTTTCACAAATGTGATCCATGTACGAATGTGAACTTCATTTCTTTCTTTCTCCTCCGTGTGCGTTTAGTTTTGGTATAGGTATGTTTCAGTAAAGGGTCACAGCGTTACTCGTTCTACAATTTCCATTAAGACAACAGCCCGATTATCAATCTCTTCTCCAACATGTAATGATTTCATTCTTAAGAAGAGCCTCCCTGGTTCCTTTCTGATGTTGTTCTTTAACTTTCTTCTCAGGGTTTTTTCAAACCTCTTAATGAGCTCATAAAGACACATGGCAGGGTTTGTGGGTAAGTATAAGAAATACTTTCTGGATCAGCATCTTATTAAATGATGGTCTGAAGATTTGCACTGGTAAAAACGTATGTTAGCCACATTAAGTATTTGATTTGACTGAGGCTGTGCTTGTTATTATATTTTAGGTATTATTTGGGCCGCAGACCGATGGTGGTGATAGCGGACCCTGACATGCTCAGACAAGTGATGGTCAGGGATTTCAGCAGCTTCCCTAACAGAATGGTGAGAACGTTTTACCAAAGTATGCACACATACACTATGTGCTAACTCATGAAACTAACGTAAGCATTCTATGATGTAGTGATAAAGGATGTTTGTACTCTCCTGTCTCTCTGTGCAGGCTATTCGCTTTGCCACCAAGCCCATGACTGACTGTCTGCTCATGCTGAGGAATGAACGCTGGAAGAGAGTGCGGAGCATCCTGACCCCATCATTCAGTGCTGCCAAGATGAAAGAGGTGAGATATGAATGTGGTCTTAAGTTTTCCAATTATAAAAGCAGATTATAAATGGCTACATTACCCACCTCACAGACATCTGAGGGAAAATGTTTTTTGTTTTGATAAGTTTCTGTCTTTCACAGATTGAGGGTAAGAAGTGTGGAGGACGACAGAAAGTTAAGATTAGATTAACTGTAATGTAAAATATTTTAGGTAAGATTTTAACAGAAAATGTATAAAGGGATGATAATGAAATCACACTTTCTCATATAACTAAAGCTCCATTTTGGTGAAACTAAATGAGTGTTTTTGGGAGTTAAGGGTGAAGCGTGGTTGCCTGGTACTGCTGATAAACATGTCTAATGAATTTATGGCTGCACTGCCCTGCTGCTTTCAACTGCAGTAAATATCAGATCTGCATCATTTTGGAGAGAGTTTATCGGTCCAGGTGCAATGAGAGGAGAGGATATTGAAGGCATCCTTTGTTGATAAAGGGGATATTACCAAGGCGTGCTGAGTTGGTCGTTCATTTGTTTGGTCTAAATTCACTTTTTCTGTCTAAACACAATCTCAATTTTTGGAGGGTTCCTTGTGGTCTTCTTTCTTCACTTCTTTTAATTACTCAAATTAATGAAATTGTTTACTTTAAAGTTGAATGAAACCACATAATCACATTCTATACATTTTCTTTAACTTTGTTTTCAGCCAGCTGAACAATCATGTTTACTGCAAGTCTGCTGTTAAAGTTCATCTTTTATTTACATCTTTAAGCAGTATCAGTATGTGTTTTTATTGGTAGTTTGATTTACAAAGAATTTTGTGTAGTGTCAGTAGGGCTGCAGCTAACGATGATTTTAGTATTTGAAGCACTTTTGCTTGGCACGCTGTTACTGTTGGCTTGTCTGTGGTCCGCTGCCAGAACACCGGCTGCTTTCTGTTCTGGTGCCGTCGTGCTGTTGCCGAGGCGACATAAGTTTCGTTTTACGGTGGACGAACGGTAACATTACAGAGTTGTTGTTTTCTTTAGCTTGAAATAATCCCAGACTTTGGACACTTTCTTCTTCAGCAGGGACTGGCTCAAATAGTGGCATCGGCAGCTACCAGTGGCAGCTTGAGATGCCGCGGCATCTGCCTCGGTTATCTGCGGCATTTCCGGTAGCAATCTAAAAATGCCACAGGTTTTCCCTGAGGTGCCACGGCACCTTTCGCTGTTTGTGATATTTCTGGTGAAACCAACATGCCACAGATTTACCCAGGCACCTGCCGTTGTTTGTGTGGGATTTCTGATTGCAATCTCACGTTAAGATGCCACGGCATCTGCCGCTGATTCAAATCAATCAATCAATAATATGTTAGCAACAGTAGTTTATTATGCAATATATAATATTGTGCATTTCTTCATGTAAACAGCAAGAGTCACGTTTAATGTCCGCATTGTTTGGTGCAATACAGTTGGTAGTTTAACCTAGGTAATTATTGTGTGTGCAGAGTTGTTACTGTTAGCACTATATTTAATATTAAATTCATATTTAATGTGGTTTTCATTGTATTAGAGCTTTTTCGCCTTTCTACCAGCAGGTGGTAGTATTTAAATGAATGTCTGGTTTGTGTCTTTGTTAACTGTTTTAAATCCAGGTTACCGATACAGATGTATTTATTGTTCTTCATTTCATTAGTTTTTTCATTATTAAGGATTAATTTGTAACCTAGTTACCATCTTCATTCACCCACAGCCCAGCGTTAAACCTGCTTGCCCTTCTGTTCTAACCTGGTTCTGCTGTTAGCAGCTCAGGCAACAAACACATCAGAAATGTCATACAGATCATCTGGCCAAAATAATGATTTACCACTGTGCTATATGTACTGTGTAAATACTGTTTTGGGAGGTGAGTGTATGAGAAATTGACTGAAACATGGAGAGCACAGCTATCTCACAATTTTGACATGTCTCACATTTTTCTTCTCCATTTATAAGGCACAAGATAAATTTAATCATCACATTACAATAGGGTTGTAAAATGAAATGAAGTTATACACTCCACTGTGTATAATATACAACATTTGTCAAATGCATGCCACATTATGGCAACCATTTCACATCTGAAACATGTACAGAGGTACGCGAAAGTTTGGGAAACCTTTAGAATTTTCGGTATTTCTACAGACATGTGATCTAAAACCTAAAAATACTCAGATTTTAACACAATTCACACAGAGTAGAAGAGACATAAATAGTATCCTTGCGGCAAATGTATGTGAACTTTAGCTTTCAGGTTCTGAGAACAATAGTTGTTGATGCTCATCGAGGCTGGAAAAGGTTGCAAAACCATCTCTAAAGGGTTTGGTCTCCACCAATCCGCAGTCAGATAAACTGCGTACAAATGGAGGAAATGTCAATGCATTTAATTAATCGATTTTATCGATGAATCATTTAATCCATTTAAGTGTCAGTGTGCTTTTTAAGTTTGTGGAACCACATTGACATTTTCCTAAATTTTGTGGTATTTATGGAGCACTTTTTCACTAAAGCAATAATTGGAAGATTTGAGTGTTTCTTCACTTTCCTAGAAAGTATCAGCAGCTATGACAAGTGTCACTGTCTGTTATTTTCCTGTAGATGGTTCCGCTCATCAACACAGCCACCGATGCCCTGATGAACAACTTGAATGTTTACGCTGAGTCAGGAGAGGCCTTTGACATCCACAAGTAATTATGCACGCAATGATCAGAGGCTATAAGAGTTGTGTCTTTATAAGTCATATTTCTGTTTATGTGTGTTTGTGTGTTGCAGGTGTTTTGGCTGCTTCACTATGGATGTCATTGCCAGTGTGGCATTTGCAACTCAGGTGGACACTCAGAACAACCCAGATGACCCGTTTGTCCGCCACGCGCAGATGTTCTTCTCCTTTTCTTTCCTCAGGCCCCTCATTCTGTTTTTCCGTCAGTCCAATTTCTATATATATATATATACACACACACACACACACACACACACACACACACACACACACACACACACACACACACACACACACACAGATCAGCCATATTATGACCACAAACAGATGAAGTGAATAACACTGATTATCTCATTAACATGGCACATGTCAGTGGGTGGGATATATTAGGCAGCAAATGAACTGTTTGTCCTCATAGTTGAAGCGGGAAAAATAGGCAAGCGTAAGGATTTAAGCGACTTTGACAAGACGACGGGGTCAGATGAGCATTTCCAAAACTGTTTTAACAATGGACAAAGGTGGTATTGTCTGATAATGATGGCACCAGGATGCACTATGGGAATAAGGCAAGCTGGCGGAGGCAATGTGATGCTTTGGGAATGTTCTGCTGGGAAACTGTGGGTCCTGCCGTTTACGTGGCTTTTTGACACGTACCACCTACCTAAGCATTGCTGCAGATCAATTACCCCCTTTCCCCTCATCCCTAGACACCCACCTTGTAACTTACAAGACTTAAAGCATCTGCTGCTAACGTCCTGGTACCAGATATCACAGCACACTTTCAGAGGTTTAGTGGAGTCCATGCCTCGACAGGTCAGGGCTGTTCTGGATGACCTACCAAAAGGGGGGCCTACACAATATTAGGCAGGTGGTCATAATGTTAAGGCTGATTTGTGTGTGTATATATAGGTTATTCTTAATTGGATTATACCTTTTGAAGAAAATAAAGATGTTAATATATTCTTTTAAACATAGAAACACTTTTGATTGTACATTCATGTGCAAGTGTGTATGTAAGTTAGCATTTCAGGTAGCGTTACACCTGCAATTTTGGTTTGCCTGTCCAGTTGCATTTCCATTCATCGCGGCTCCTCTGGCGAGATTCATCCCCAACAAAAGACGTGACCAGGTGAATCATTTCTTCATCAGTAGCATTCAGAAGATCATCGAGCAGAGAGAGCAGCAGCCTCCTGAACAGGTGAATCTCATTGATAGTTAGTAAAGTAAATACAGTAAAACTAATTTCCAGTAAATAGTTTTTCAAATTAATTGGATTGATTGAAAAAAACATTTGCATGTAGAGGCGTCGAGACTTCCTCCAGCTGATGTTGGATGCACGAACCAGCAAGGAGTGTGTGTCTCTGGAACACTTTGACACAGCGATCCCTGCTGTTGAGTTGGATGAAAGGGACCAGCAAACACAACCGTCGGCCTCTGATCAGGGCGACCATCTTCACCCACAGGAGCCCCCCACCAGGCGTCCACAGAAAAAGAATATTACTGAGGATGAGATTGTGGGTCAGGCTTATGTCTTTCTCCTGGCAGGCTACGAGACCAGCAGCAACACGTTGGCCTTCACCTGCTACCTCCTGGCCATCCATCCCGAATGTCAATGCAAAGTACAGGAAGAGGTGGATGATTTCTTCACCAGACATGTGAGCTGTCAGCTAGTTACAACATAAGATTTTAGTTGTAGATTTATCTTATAACATGACTGATGTAATATTAATCATTTATCTTATAACAAGACAAATTTAGTGCGCACACAGACTTTTAATTTCATTTTTATGTTGAAAACTCCAACTGAATTATGCTTTATGCTTTTCTTGTAGGAGTCACCAGATTACACAAATGTCCAGGAGCTGAAGTATTTAGACATGGTTATATCTGAAGCATTGCGCCTCTACCCTCCTGGATTCAGGTAAAATAAATAAATGAGGATAAAAGATGATTTTTTACAAAATTAGTACTGCCCCAAGAACAAGTTCGTTTATTTATGTACATACATACAGTAGATTTGTGTAGTATTTATGTTTATACTCATCAAAATCATACAGGAATCACTTTGAGTATAGAAGGAAAAATTACTTTAGGTGGATAAAACATGCATCCATGGAATTTTTCCTCATAAAGGTTTGCAAGAGACATCGAACAGGACTGTGTGCTGAACGGCCAGTTCCTCCCTAAAGGAGTGACTCTGGAAATCCCAGCGGGCTTCCTCCACCACGACCCAGAGTACTGGCCAGAGCCTGAGAGGTTCATCCCTGAGCGGTATGAGGCTTGTCTTACAGAAATTAAGCACAACTACAGTGCCTGTCCCTTGTGTTTCATGATCATCTAAATCTATTAGATGGCTTAAATGCATTTCCTGAGAAATGTATTAAAGTCACAGTACATTTAATTAAAGTTGCATTGTCTAGCACCACCAGCAATTAACTGAAAAGTAGTATGCAACAGTTGATCAAAATATTGATATGGTGTCGCATAACTTTCAGCTGGATATTACTCGTACAGCTCAAAACTGAAATCACTCCCAAAAAAATCAAAGACTATGATTGAACAGTCCTTTCTTTACAGAACACACATTGCTATAGTAGGAAAAGCATATCTATATCTATATATATCTATATATCTATAGATATATCTATATCTATATATATCTATATCTATATATATATATATATATATATATATATATATATATATATATATATATATATATAGATATATATAGATATATATATATATATATAGATATATATATATATATATATATATATATATATATATATATATATATATATATATATATATATATATATATATATATATATATATATATATATATATATATATATATATATATAGATATATATATATATAGATATATATATATATATATATATATGTATGTATGTATGTATGTATATATGTGTGTGTATGTATGTGTATGTATGTATGTGTATGTATGTATGTATGTATATATGTGTGTGTATGTATGTGTGTAAATATATATGTGTAAATATATATATATATATATATATAATAACATTATTGATAGCTGGTATTGTGCATGCTGACTCACTGTCAACCTGTCATGACTTGCTGGGGCACTAGAATACAACAAGGCTACTGTTAATGCTATTAATAACACCTACTATGACGAGTCAAAATATTTCCTTTGTGTGTGGAACCTTGTGCAACGTTCAATTCACCAGGCCAACCAAATTTCTTTTGTTCATCTTGTTACACTAGTCGAAGCTTTTACTATTAACATGTATTAGCATTATACCATCTTGATACTTACTTACTAACTTGAAACACTACTGCTTTTAATTCATCCAAACAATATAACTTGTGGTTGATCTCTAGATTCACACCAGAGGCCAAGGCCAGTCGACATCCATTTGTATACCTGCCGTTCGGGGCCGGCCCCCGTAACTGTGTGGGAATGAGACTCGCCCAACTGGAAATCAAAATGGCACTAGTGCATCTGTTCCGCAGATTCAACATTGTAGCCTGCTCTGAGACCAAGGTGGGCTGACAACCGATCTGTTTAAAACTGTTGGGAGAAAGGAATCATACACACACACAAGACACATTTACATACTACACCTCTGCATTTGTAGGGAAATAAGGAAGTGTACTTTACCACTGGCCAAGGTACGGCCGTTCACATTTAGTAGCTGCTCAGGTGAAAATGGAGTCAGTCCTATGGTGAAAGTAACTCTACAGCGTGTCTGCATTTATATCTGTTAACATCCCATCATCACGCACCCACTGGTTATATTATGATATACACTGCTCAAAAAAATAAAGGGAACACTTAAACAACACAATGTAACTCCAAGTCAGTCACACTCCTGTGAAATCAAACTGTCCACTTAGGAAGCAAAACACTGATTGACAATCAATTTCACATGCTGTTGTGCAAATGGAATAGACAACGGATGGAAATTATAGGCAATTAGCAAGACACCCCCAATAAAGGAGTGGTTCTGCAGGTGGTGACCACAGACCACTTCTCAGTTCCTATGCTTCCTGGCTGATGTTTTGGTCACTATAGAATGCTGGCGGTGCTTTCACTCTAGTGGCAGCATGAGACGGAGTCTACAACCCACACAAGTGGCTCAGGTAGTGCAGCTCATCCAGGATGGCACATCAATGCGAGCTGTGGCAAGAAGGTTTGCTGCGTCTGTCAGCGTAGTGTCCAAAGCACGGAGGCGCTACCAGGAGAGAGGCCAGAACATCAGGAGACGTGGAGGAGGCCGTAGGAGGGCAACAACCCAGCAGCAGGTCCGCTACCTCCGCCTTTGTGCAAGGAGGAGCAGGAGGAGCACTGCGCATGTGTCTGCTGAAACGGTCAGAAACAGACTCCATGAGGGTGGTATGAGGGCCTGACGTCCACAGGTGGGGGTTGTGCTTACAGCCCAACACCGTGCAGGACATTTGGCATTTGCCAGAGAACACCAAGATTGGCAAATTCACCACTGGCGCCCTGTGCTCTTCACAGATGAAAGCAGGTTCACACTGATCACATGTGACAGACGTGACAGAGTCTGGAGACGCTGTAGAGAACGTTCTGCTGCCTGCAACATCCTCCAGCATGGCCGGTTTGGCGGTGGGTCACTAATGGTGTGGGGTGGCATTTCTTTGGGGGGCCGCACAGCCCTCCATGTGCTCGCCAGAGGTAGCCTGACTGCCATTAGGTACCGAGATGGTATAGCAGCAACTTAATGCATAGAGACGTGGTCTAGACAACTTGCTGAAGGTCAAATCGAGCATCATAGTGGGGAAGAATTAGGCTGACTTTGAACGTGGCATGGTTGTTGCTGATCTACTGGGATTTTCACGCACAACCATCTCTAGGGTTTACAGAGAATGGGCCGAAAAAGAGAAAATATCCAGTGAGTGGCAGTTGTGTGGACGACAATGCCTTGTTGATGTCAGAGGAGAATGGGCAGACTGGTTTGTGATAACAGAAAGGCAACAGTAACTCAAATAACCGCTGGTTACAACCAAGGTATGCAGAATACCATCTCTGAATGCACAACACGTCGAAACCTTGAAGCAGAAGGGCTACAGCAGCAGAAGACCACACTAGGTGCCACTCCTGTCAGCTAAGAACAGGAAACTGAGGCTACAGTTCACGCAGACTCACCAAAATTGGACAATAGAAGAGTGGACGTTGCCTGGTCTGATGAGTCTCAATTTCAGCTGCAGCATTCAGATAGTAGGGTCAGAAATTGGTATAAACAACATGAAAGCATGGATCCATCTTGGCTTGTATTAACAGTTCCGGCTGGTGGTGTATTTGTATAGCGCCTCTCTAGTTTTTGACCACTCAAGCAGAAACTAACATTCACACAGGTGGAACAGCCAGGGGCTCGGGGTTCAGTATCTTACCCAAGGACACTTTGACATGCAGCCTGGACCTTCTGATTAACAGGCAACCCGTTCTACCTCCTGAGCCACAGTTGGTCCACTGTTGTTTAATCAAAAACCAATGACTGTATTTCTGTCACAGGTAACACGTGTTTTGCAAATAAAGCTGGAAAAACAGATGAAAAACAAAAATGTAGCAAATTTTGAAGGAGCTACTGGCTGCTCCATCTATCTGCGCTGCGGGTTGCAATATAACACTACTCCTAACATCTAACATGCACTTCCTGTGCTCTTCTTCTATCCCCTACAATTACCTTGTATTGATTGCACTTTTTGTTAACTAACTTCTTTCCCTAGGTATTTACCTCATTGATGCGATATGTGCCATTAGCGCTTACTAGTATTTATTTCTGCTTTTATTAATATGTATTGTCAGTTGTAGATCTTGTGCTGTATTTTATGCTCTGTTAATGATTGTATGTTGTTCCTCAAATGTAAGTCGCTTTGGATAAAAGCGTCTGCCAAATGAGTGAATGTAAATGTAATGCAATAGTTGCTTCTGTCTATACAGAAAGTGTAGCTATTTCCTTCTCAATGTCAGGGTGGGCAAAACCTGTCATATTTGTAGTAGGCTACTTGGTCTATCAAATTTGATGTAATATATTTCTCAACATATACTGTATATTATTAATTATAACATTTATGGTTTTTATTAGACATTTGAGATTGCTGAAAATTTAACCAATTGGACCAATGTAATAGTCAAAATTCAGCTATTTACACATGTGGTCCCTACATTTAGAACATATGTAAAATGGATGGTATATTTTCCAATAACATATGGTATTGTTTTCTCTGTGCAGGTTCCTCTGGAGTTGAAGTCGGCAAGCACCCTAGGACCTAAAAATGGCATATTTGTGAAAATTCAAAAAAGAGACACGGGAGCAGGTCAAGTGAATTCTCCATGAGCCAATTACAAAACTCACCGTTCATCTTCTTGGATGGTGTAAAGATAAAAAGCGTTCTTCAAGTCCACGTTTTAAGAGGTATACACTGGATATCTCAATTATACTGCTCATCTAGTGCCCTTCCTAACCAGAAGGTGGACTGAAGAAGAAAAAGAGCATTGCTGTAGTGTAATAATTAAAGTGATTGGAAAGGTGGCAGCAACTGGACCAATCAGACACTGCTGAGGACACAGATAACGTCCCTCTGAACTGCCTTCTGATGGCTTCATCCGTTGTTTTGGTGGTAAACAAAATAAGTGAGAGAGAAAAGAGTGAAGCGTGCAGTACTTAAAAGAAAGCAACTCTCAGTATGTAGCAATGAAAATCTGTCTGTCATAAAAGGTTATATAGGAAAAGCATTTTTTCATTAACATTAATCTGAAGCATGGTTTTCGTTTTACTAACCAGCTGTCCACTTTTTTTCTTCTTTGCACTGTGGAATTAGGATTTCTTTATTACTTTTAAGTGCATTTAATAACTTTTTTATGGTTTAGTTACTGTAGTAAATTCAGTGAACTGATGAAAAGGCTGAAACTGAAACTTGTACAGTAAAATGTAATTACTATGAGATCAGAACTAGTTCAGCCAGAAAAGTCACGTCACAAGCTCTTGTTGGGAGTTACCCAGTATATTTGAATATACTGAAGACAGTTTCATGATGCCTAACACAGTGCTGTTTTGTTTTGTCTTTTAATCTCAACTGAAAGCTGCTATTTTAGAGTGGTTTGTGAAAGGATAGGAAATCTGAGCTGAGTCAGTGTTTATCAAATGTGTCAAAATAGGAAACTGGACTTAAATAGCCCACATTTCTCAGTGCATATTGCTGTAAGGCATAGGTTAAAACATTTTTATCACTTTTCTCTGATGACCTCATTCATAATTCAAACATATACTCCTTATTGAAACAAAAACTTTAACTATTTCTCATGTATGTAGATAAATCTTAGCCAATCTTTGGGAGTTATTCTGAGGTGCTTGAGAATTGCAATCCTGAATTCATTATAATTTATACAATTAGAGTGACTTACTAATTATGTGTCCATAAAACATATATATTTTAGCAGCTGGCAGAACTGGGTCAAATGTCACGTGTGTAAATGAATAGTCATACATAATGAAATTTCTGTTGGGGTGCTGATAAATAATGACACTGACATGGCAGTTTGTAATGTTTATTACATCACCAGTGAGTTTCCATTCCCAAATACTAGATCATTTGTCACCCTCAGTATCCTTCATTTAGACTTTCATTAAAGACCTCCGGCAGACATTCTTATCACAACAAAATAGAAACCCACAAAAACGGACATTGCTCAAGGAAAATATTTTTATTGTATTTTCTGACATTACAAATTCATCAGAATGTGCTTTAATAATCACACTTAAACATCCCATTAAATACTTAATTTTCTCCCACCTTCCACTTATGTCCCCCTACAGAGGAACACTTTGTAACTGTATTGTAATTATGAGTTTATAAAATCTAATGCATTGCTATAGCTCAAGCTCAACTGTTTATTGGATCATTATTGAAAACGCATAATGTGGTATTTAATATTTACACTCAGAGAGGCCACTCTGCTCCATAAAGAGTACTTTTACTTTTGACACCAAGTATATTTTGTTGATCAAACTTTTAATTGCATTTTTACATTGTAGTATTACTACTATAACATCAATATAGGATCTGAATAGTTCTTCTGTTGCTGTAAAACCCCACTAACATCTAACAAAGCCACTAGCTTCTTCCAGTCAAAAGTAAAATACCATCCAGACCAAAATCTTCACAAAATGAAATGACAGCAACTTTGATTTATGAATAGTCGATAAGATACTCTGGATAAATCTGATGTTTTTCAAAGACGACATAGATGCTGGGGTCGCTCTCGTTGTTAACGCAACTGTCATAGAGGGTTGTGCTGCTTCCTTTTGGCGGGGGCCGAACATAGCTGCTGCTTCCCTTGGTGTACTCCCCCACCAGGACCAGAGCAACAAACATGATCTTTCTCAGGCTTCTTTTGTCCCTGGCATATCTGTCTGAGTAGGACGCATCTCTGGCAAAGTAGCTCCCTAAAAGTAATAATGTGTTACTATTGATACAGTCCAAAAGGAAAAACGGGATAGGTTCTTTTCTACATAAAGTAAAGTGCTTTTTGCCTGATAAACCTGGAGTTGACTGCTCCCATACCAAAACACAACACAGTAAATTTGAGGAAAATGATTTTGTGGCTTGTTAATATTGTATATTCATTATATTACTGGAATGGCTGCTAAAACAGTTTTACTGTACCTTTGCCGTATGCCGTACCATGCACACCACACATCCTCCAGTCAAAGTTTTGCTCACAGATTGCCTTAATCATGGACTGGTCTGTCCCATGAAACAAGTGCTGCTCATTCACAGCCTTCCCTTCATTCTTCTTTTTCATCTGCTCCTTCTGCCTGAACACACAATATAGAAAACATAAATGTTATGACATGCAACTGAGGTTTTCTTTTAAACTTTTCATTAAAGCAGGTTTTTGTTTAGTTTATTAAATGCTTTTATGAGCTCTGTTTTTGTTTCTTTAGCTGCTAAATGTGTCTGTCTGTTGTCTTAGAGCTTCACTGAAAACAGCTGCCTGCTACAGCCGGACATGATGCTATGAGAGCGATGACAGTAAACCAAAACAGTAAAATTGTGCGCCGGATTGAGAAACAATGAGCTGAAACTCCACATGAAGCTCTGTAAAGCCGAGGGGAACTATGAGACGAGCGACCCTTTCCACATTGTCATTTTATACATTGGTATCGCCAAAAAGCCAGGTCTGATTTACCACTGAAAGATTTTCCACAGAGAGGGGTTTTGGATCCTCTCGATGTTGTTAATTTTACTCTGGGGCATGGTGCGCATAAACAACATCGAAATCATATTATACTCCTTTGCAGATTTGGAGAGAGGTACAAGCTGAAAGAGAAGAGGACAATGAAGAGTACAGTGCAGATAAACAGGTCATTAATGAAGGGTATAAATATACATTCACTGTTCCAGAATGAACTAAAGTAAAACAGAAACATTAAGCACATTAATACATGCTATAAAGATACCTTGTATCCAAAATCCGGTAGGGCAGTCTTGTCCCAGTTTGATGGGAAACTTTCAGCTGTGGAAGAGCTGGAGCTGTGTGAAGATACACTACAGAGGAGACAAAAATATGTCGGACAAGTGAAGTCACTTGTGACACAGGAGGGGAATAAAGAGGGGAGTGGGGTAATATTCTGAGAATAAACTCAGAAGTCACAAATTCATGAGAAACAAAAAATCGGAAAATACAGATTTCCAGATGTGCTCTGTTATTAAAAGGCATTGTTCTCTATTAAAGGCAGAGTATGCTGATGCTAATAAAAACAGCTGTGACTACAACAAAGATGAGATGAGATTTTGCTCAGAGACTTTAATCTGGGAAATTCTTAGTTTTTTTCTCTGAATATTACCCCCCTCCCCCGGCTCTGCAATTTATAATTTTTTAAAATCTACAGTGGCTATAACTGTAAATAAGAATACCCCTTCAGCGCCACCTCCACATCATGAGCAGACACAAAGCGAGGTCTCCGTCTGACGTCTCTCTTGGTTTTGTATTTTACATTCTGCTGATACATCTGCTGTGTTTCCGCTGCACCTTTGAAGTGCAGGATATACTGCTGTGTGCCAGCACCAAAAGGAATCTCAGTATCTCTGTCTGCAAGGTACACATTCTCCAGAGTTTGAGAGGAGACAGAGGCTGGTGTGTTGCCGTCACCCTGAAGAGGAAAAACCCAGCAGACAGCAATCCATCAGTTTAAATGTACTGCCAGCGATGAAATGGGAAACATTTATTAGTAAAGAGTGAAGATGGGGGCTGTAGCATATTTAAATGTTCTCGTTCCCTCAAACAGGCACTATAATAAGGATCAGAATAAAGCCACAAAGCTGCGTTATTGGTACATGATTGACTGACCTGTCCAAACTCCAGCCATTTCCCGCTGTCATCCTTCCAGTACCAAAGCCACTGTGTTGTAAGAATGAAGTGAGGGGGCTTTGAGACAGAAGAGGCAGTGGACAGGCGACGAACTGGAGACTCTCCACGTGTCATTTTCATGAAGTCAACAGACTGCTCAACAGAGGCTGCAGAGCTGAAAGCAAGCAATTAACAATTTGCTCAAGGTGAGTAGACACTTCTAAAGACTTGAACTAATGTGAATGAACGGTTAAACATCTATGTGTCTCACTGAAACACATTTATAAACCAGAGAACTGTACATACATCTCTGTGGTCAGTTTTTTCATTCATGCACCTTTGCAAAGACAGAAATCTAAAAATCCCTAAGGTGGGCGACGGTTGATCCGTGCAGCTTGTGTCATGTTGTGGGTCACAATAGGCCTTCTCAATGTCTTCCATGTTTGGCAGGTCCTTCCAGGTCACACCATCACGGTCTAAAACCTGCCATCGGTAAGGTAGGTGCCAATGGACACGAGCACACTTCTCTGGGGGGGAAAAAGCAATGAGATGTTAAAGGCATTTACTAGACTGTGGTAGACATAGAGACATTGTCTCTTCACACCGATCTACACAGACGTATTGCAAAGTTAATGTTGATATGAACTGTTTCCTTGTTACCTTTGAAGCTGCAGTGTCTGCGAATGAAGAAGAGGCAGATTTCATTCCTATCAGCATCGCTCATGGGTGTAGATGGGCAAGCAGAACTGGTGGGGGATCCAGGGCTGCTGTGTGAAGGCTTAGGAGTGGTGATTTTCACCTCTGGCAACACTGAAGGTGACACACATCCATAGTGTCACATCTACTGTGTAGACTACCACCCCCTTTAGATTATTAAAGTCCTTATTCTTTACCTGGAGCAGCAGTAGCCCGTCTCTCCCGCTGACCCGTGATGATGAATTTATTTCTGTAGATCTCATGAAGGTTTTTAATATTCTCCTGACTGAATCCATTGAAGATCTTCGTTCCATGAGCGTCAATTTTATGGGCTCTCTTACACGAAGAGCCGAACTTACAGTCTCCCTGGAGATAGTGCTGGCAGACATGAAGCTTTGTGCAGGAAGTGGTGAACTTGCAGCAACCATACGGGCCGTTGCCCTTGTTGTAATGTGGGCAGATCTAGAGGGTGTATGGGTTTAATATGTACTATATCATTACAACAAAAATATATGACAGTTCATTCAGATATTTACATGCTTTTCTACACAACAGCAAGAGACTCTGAACTCTGTCTCCTACTGTTGCCAGTGTAACCTACCTCGGGAAGCAGATAAGGGTCATTCTGCAGTAACAGCTGGAAAAGCTGTCTCTCTGTCAAATCGTGAAGACCATATCTCCTCAAAAGCGCTGCATTGTATGGAGAAGTCAGACTATGGGGGTTTTTACACTTGTGTCTGAAAAATTACAAAATGAGTAAAATATAATTTCAGTTAAGAGTTTTAGTTTAAAATAACCACTGAAAAAGAGGCTCACAATTATTCATTTGGTTTCTGTAAATATAGGCTACAGGCCTTTAGTGATTTAAAAAGTTACAGTAGCATTGTTGGTTGGTGTATAAAGTGTGTCTTTGTGTTTTCTTACTTGGACAACATTAGCTCCATAAATATCTTTGCATTCTGCCATCTATGTAATGATCTTGATTTACATGTAAAATGTTGGTCACAACCCCATTAGTCTATAGAGAGGTATAAGGCATAAGCTACACTTTCATAGGGCACAACAGCAACCATTAGTGCTGTGTCACTGTTTACTTACAGTATCTATGGTATACAGAGTGGGTTATTCAGGGACAATGACAGACTAGGATTTTTTTTTATATACAGTCTATGACTAGGATGCAAAATACTGCCATCTTCTGGTCAAATATAGGACTTACAATATTGCATTTTTGTTCATACCATGGGCTGTAAAAAGATTCATACAGAAAACACATAAATCCCAAATACACTGTAAAACGCTTATTTTTCCAATATAATTAATGCAAAGGCTACATTTTTGGTTTAGACTGACATCTTTCTTCAAATGTTTTTGTAAGTAAAGTTAAATAAAGCTACTGACCTACAAAAGGTCCTTATGATGTTCACAGTTCCTATTCTACAGCATGTATGGTTGTGTCACAGCAAATGTTCAGTGCAATTTGTTAGGGTTTCAATCCACAAACTACTTTTGCAGTCTACTAAATAAAGCAGACACACCCACGACATCATTAACAGAACAATGTTGGACAGGTTAGTCTTATTTTTCTTTTGCACAGGTCTGCAGATGTTAAATTTAAAATTAAATCTTAGCACAAGATCAGAACTGGTTTTCCCACTGAGCACAGCCTCCAGACCTTTCACAGTCTTATGCTCCAGACCGTGCAGTACCACACTGGTGTTTTCATGCATGATAGATTAGACCTCTGCTCAGAGGTTGGGTGGAGTTTTGGCTGGGAATTTATTTGAGGTCACCAAACTTATTACACAAATAAGATGATAAAGATGGGCGCTGCCGTGCCGCAGCATAACAAATAAGAGATTGAGGGAAATGCAGATTTGTCAGTAGGTTGTCCAGAGAAACAGGCAACAAAAGTGAAACACCTGTGTGGGTGTGTGACACAGGGCTTTTAAAACTTGTAAAAGTTTGCTTCTACTGCCTACCTTAAACATATTAAACGTTTAACTTTGAACAATTACCAACGGTTTCATGTCATTGTAATTATGCTTGATAACGTAATGCAGACCTTACAAGTTAGCACAGGCAGTGGGTTATTCTACTTACCCGAATGTGCAGTCTCCGCAAACAAAATATCTGCACAGGTGTAACCCATCGCACTGTGTACACTCTCCGGGTTTTTCCTGACAGATCCGCAGATTGGTTTTAACCACTACCAGACTATCCGGACTAATTATTTGTCCGCCGACGAGCTTCTGTCGGCCTTCTTGAATGGCTATTTTACCGTCGTCAAAGAGTACACTTCGCAGGACTTCTGTCGCAACAGTGAAACTCTGTCCGATCTTCTCATCCAGGCGCTTGAAGTCCAAACTCCCCTGGTTGTCGCACAGGGTCTTAATGATGAATTTGGAGATGATTTCAGTCATCCTGAAACGGGTTCAGCCAAGTGGCCTACAGTGTTATTGAGCGGAGCTGAGCTGCCTCCGCACAGCTAGAGCGACGCTCGGTTACAGAGAAACGAAACAGAAACTCTGAAAAAGACAACTTAAGTTAAAGGGGAAAAACAGCTTCTTCAGCCGGGATTGTTATGCGCGTCTATTCCTGCTGTTACGGCACAGGTCCTCGGAGTGGCCAAACAGTACAGTTTCAATACCGTTTGTCACATTAGTAAATCAAGTACAAACGATATTATATTACTCATCATAGGCCTCTATTACACGAGACCATATCTTGAGATCATAGACTGTAAAGGAAGACTTGAGACGCACAAAGTACGAGTTTAACGTTACACGCTATTTTCTTTAACCCCGTAGCCTTGCAAACTTAACGTTAACGTTAGCCCTAATCTTTGACTATCTTCGTACTGTGGTACTTAACGTTTGTAACGTAACGTTAATTCTTACACTACTTGCACAATATGCCTCCATTAAATACTTTTACTGTGTAGTTTTAATGTAATGTCAAAGTCCCTTTTAGATAACAAGAATAAGCCTTCTCGTCAACTTTGATGTGGGACATAGCCCATTTTTTCTTCTGTAAGTAACTTGGTTCGAGATATTTAACGTTAGGCCTACTGCTGGATATTAGTCTACGAGGTTACATGGACAAATACTATGAATTACATTTTTAAAAAAACTCCCTTTCACCCTCCATGTGAGTGGCTTACCGCATGTGTTTCTATTTCCCCTCATTTAGGTCATTTATGCTTTCGAGTTTGAAGCATTTTGTTTAGGTCTAAGATGAAACTGACTGCGGGACTGAAAGAAAAAAAGTTGTTGATAAGTCACATTCACGTCTAAAAGCACAAATATTGTCCTCAAATGAATAAAAGACAACATAAGCGAAGTTTACAGACTGAAGAGCACGTGAAGGCAACACTAGCCCTAGCAACCACTGCAGGGGTTCAGTGTACCTTAGCAACCATGGAGGATGAGCTTCTGTTGATGGAAGAAAAAGGCAAAGAGGTCCCGCAAGAGCGAAAAGAACTTCTCTACAACCGAGTCGAAGAACTAAAGTAATGAAAATCAATATTCAAGAACAGCCTATGGGTTAAAAATAGCTCAACCGTGAAGTTTATTACTCTAAATAAATGCCTTATGCTGTGCTAACATCAAGCTCTAACGCTAACGTTAGCTCTGTTGTTGAGCAACATGGTTAACGTTACAGCAAGTAAGTTAGTACTAACACACAAGTAGGTTATATCCTTGAAACATGAGCTAAGAGAAGAGGGTCAAGTAGTTGAAGCTAATATACTTTAAACTAGGCTAACAGTTAAATTACGCGACTCAGCATAACGTTGACGTTACTTCAGCAGATTTGTGGAGCTGTTTTGAATTTTAATACTTGAATATCTTACGAAGGCCTACTAACTTAACCAAGTTATGCTTCTGTTTTCCTTGAGAAATTATCATAAGGTGAGTGGATAAATTAAATCTGACAGGTGGTTAAGTTGTAAACACACTGAACCCTCTTTTAGTTTCAAGCATTGTCTTTTGCTGACATTGAAATTGCTGATATTCACTTCCACCCAAGATATTCCAATGCAGCCCTCCTGGCAGAAATCGACATGTTTGAAAGGTTCATCGGCCGCATGGATCCTCAGGACCTAGTGTCCCAGGCTGGGGGAGACGGTCCTTGGGCAACAGGAGCCTCCCAGCTGGAGGGTGGGGTAAGTGCTGCTACCCACTGACAAGACTTCTTCATATACAAAACTCAGTATCTATTGTGATTTTGTTTCCCACTGAAAATGATCATCGGGACAGATTTATCTAACTTTGCAAACAAAAAACATAAACAACCAGAAAGGGACGAACTTAAATACATTTTAGGTTCAAAGAGTGACAGAACATATTGCTACATATTATTAGCAAACTTTTATGTGGCCTCCCACAAGTGTAGAGACGCTCTTGACTTTAATTTTGTTCCTTGGACAGATGACCTCTCTGCACTGTGCTCCTAATAGCCCCGCATCATTTTGTATATGTGTGTGCACGTGTGTGACTTGTCAGGGTCCTGGACGGAGGCGAAGGTCCCGGTCCAACATATCAGATCACCCCCAGGAGCTGACCTTGGAACAAAAAGTACATGTGGCAAAGAGGGAAGTAACAGAGATACTACAAGACCAGGAGAAACTCAAACAGAGATATGAGAGAATTCAGGACAACTACAAGGTAAGAACACACCCTTGCACAAAACAATAAACAAAAACAAACCAACAAAGATAAATAAAACACATTCTTACAGTACATTTTTTTCTAGGCCTCTCTGGAAGAGGCAGAAGTGCGTCTTGCAGATATTCAGAAGGCAAAGAGCGATTTTGAACGCAGACTGCTCAAACCAATTAAGGACAACAGGTTGGCAATGAAGGAGCCTGAGAAGGTGCTACAGTACATCGAAGACAAGTCCATGGTACATTACATTAATATTTATTCATTTAGCTGACGCTTTTATCCAAAGCAACTTACAATTGCTATCTATGTCAGAGACCTGGAGCAATTAGGGGTTAAGTGTCTTGCTGAGGGACACATTGGTGGATGTGTCACAGTAGGGAATTGAACCTGGGTCTTTCACACCTGTGTCTTATCCACTGCCCCATCACCCCCCCAAAAAAGAGCAATGTATAAATGACATCAACCTGTACAAAGTAGTATTTGAACATGTTTTTAAACATAAATTGACTCATCGTTTTAACTTTTTGATTAATGTTATCTGCTTGCCAGTTCTGTCGCAAACCCTACTCATATTCATCATCTTCCTCCCTTTGTTCACATGTCTGTTCTGTTAACAAACACACCAACTCAAACAGATCACCCAGTTGGAGAAGTTAACTCTGAAGAACAGGGCACTGAAGGTCCACAGAAAGAAGCTCCAGCAGCAGCTTCAACAGAAAAAAGAGGCGGGAAAAAACGAGTACGAGGTAGAGAATGAGAGTGTGATAGTAAATCCAGAGAGGCTAAGACAGGTGGTAAAACAGACAGTTGAATCAATTATGTCTCTATAGATTGTCAGTTGATTCTGTAGTTTGTGAGTAAGACAGTTATGCCAGTTTTTTGCTGGTTAGTAAATGTAACAATGTACGGTGCTGTGTGTTGTTTTTAGGACCTTTTCCAGGAGTACAGTGAGCAGAGAATGGACAAAAACCTGGAGGAACTTCAAGTCAACAATCTGAAAGTGCAACGTGTCCTCAGGTCACATAAGGTAACTCATCAAAAATGCGTGTGGGAGCGATAGAGGATTTTCTCAATCTAACCCCCTTTTGCAGTGTAGCTAATCACCTTGACCTTAGCTCCAGCTTGTCAAATCTGTGTGTGTGTGTGTGTGTGTGTGTGTGTGTGTGTGTACAGGAGAAGCTACAGAATGTGACATTGGAGTCCACAGAGCTGAGCAAAGACATTGCCAACAGGAAGCACATGCTGGCTAAAATTGAGGAGGAGATGCAGCAGGCTGAGGAGGTGTTTGTCAATAAAATAGAAAATGTCAAACTTTAAGCCCAATGTGGCCACCCAACATCAAATGTAGTAACTCATACATGGTTAGGTCCATTAAAGAGTTACAGACAGACTAAACATGTAAATCAGTTCTTGAAACCATACTTATCCCCTGCTCTTAAGACTAATTTCCTTTGTGTACACAATCCCTTCTACTTTTCTTCTTTTCTCAGGAGCGTTTAAAGGCAGAGGCTCTCAACCAACACCTGCGCCGCCAGATGACAGATTATCAGGCTCCTGATATCATTGAGTACATTCATGTCAAGGACAAACACAAGAAGCTGCAGCAGAGCATTCACACTTGGGAGAGGAAGGTTGTTGTTGCTGAGGTAAACCATACTTTCTTTTCTTTCCTCAAATACAATCAGCTCTGTCCCGAATACCTCAGGATTCTGTGTCACCTCTGCAAAAAAAGGATAAGATTTTGACTCACAGTATGTTTTGCTCCACTTTTATTGTGCCACACCAAGCCTCAGGCCAGCTCGAGAGAAACTGTCGTGTGACAGTATCCGAAACAATGGGCTCTCTCTTTTCTTTTTTCACCAGATGGCATTGAAGACCCACACTAAAGCTTGGAGCTCACAGAGAGCTACTCTTACTCCTGCAAACAGCGCTGAGGCTGCAGCGAGATCTCAGCAACGCCAAATACCAGTAAAACTCCCGTACATAGCCGAACACAGCACATAGAGGAATAGAGAATCCAGTAGGCTTGGATTCATTAAAAAAAACAATGTCCATGCTTGAAGCTTTAATCCTCATTGTGTCATTCATTTATTTATATTTACTCATACTCACTATGTGTCCTCAAAAGATTTTTACCATCCACCATTATGAAGAATGACATATACAGTAAAAACTTGCTTTATCAAGCCCTTTTCCCTTAATTGTTGTAAAATCTGTTACTTAATAATGTTGAATAATAAAAAGTAGTTTAGTCCTTACTATAATGATTACTGTGTCATTTGTGCTCTGCTGGTGCTGGCTATTTTAACAGTTCTGAGAGTTTACAAAAGATCTTGAGCCTTAGATCTCCTTATTTGGAAGAAGCTCCCACTACAACTTCAGGCCAGGTGGGGGTCTGTCAAGATGTTCAAATGTAGGTGTAAAACACTCATCTTTCTTGGTCCCTCATAAGGAATACATTCAGATGTCTTATAGCTGACATTAGTAACCGATTCTGGTGTTGTCATTGTATTTATAATCACATTTTTAATTGTCACAATTGGGATTCTGTGTGTGCGCTTGTTTACTCATACTAAAAGATGCAGAGACTCCTCAGGTGATGCTCTAATAACAATGGTGTATGTGTAAATATTACTGTTATATGCCACTGTATACTTCTACTCCACCAGATTTACATTTTGCTTCATTTATCTGACAGCTATAGTTACTTTGCAAATTTTACACAACAAAATATTTTGATCAATATACAACGTCTCTAAGATGATCTTCACTTCACTTTTAAGCACATTAACATGGAAGCAGCATTTTACGGTTACATCACTGACAGTAATACAATAATCCGTAATATAATACTGTGGAAGGGGCCATTCTGCATAATGAGTACATTTACTTTTGAAGTATATTTTGTCGATAATTATTTACTCTTACGTAAAGTGTTTAAATCAGGCCTTTTAGTTGCAATGGAGTATTTTTACATTGTGATATATTTCTACTTTTACCCAAGTAAAATGATCTGAATACTTCCTCCACTACTGACTATTAATAAACCAAAGTTTAAGTTACTCAGTATATAAAGCTGGACAAAGGAAATAAAATCCACCAGACTCGACAAACTATTTCCTTTATTAGAAAGAAATCCTTGGAGGTATAAGCCCTCAAAGAACTCTAAATGTTATGATGTTACATGCCATATATACAGTTATATACATAAAAGTGCAATGTCACAATGGGTAAGCTGTTTATTTATTATTCATTCATTCTTTCATATAACTGTTTGGAAAATGGCATCATTACTTATTCATGTGTCTTTTTTCTGCACTGCATTTTCTCAAAAACACAGCATCTGACATGAAAATGCAACGGTACAGGATGTCTGAAGTTCCTCTAAAACATTTTAAAAGGCACTTTCACAAGTACATACTACAGATGTACATAACACCACAGAGTAGCTTAAAGCCTACAGACGGCATAACTGAGTCCTACTGTTGATGATGTTAACGTAGTGACAAAAAGCACACTTTTATTTTGTATTTTTTTTTTACAACTGGCTTCATACTGGGTGTCACACCTGTTTCTCTGGATATTTATTCTACACCATTTGTTCTAAGTCATTTCTACCCAGAAATGAAACACGCATAACAAAAATGATTACAAAAATAGTTAGTAAGTCAGAAATCAATTATCTTTTGGTTATTATACACACAATAATTGTCAAGTCAAAGATAGTGTAAACCTGTTGTTAAAGAGCATTGCTTATTCATTGCAAACCACGTGTTTTCTGTGTTATTATGCTAGCCAAACATTCCCAGGACATGCACCCATTTCTCTTATTTCTACAGTACAGAGGTTATTTTCAAAAAAGACATACAGGGGTGCAGTCACACAGCTGGAACTCTGGCATGTACAGTTGTAGGGGGCTATTGCATTTGAAATTATTACTGGACCTGGACACACATGAGCTGACCGACATGGGCTGTTTATCACTGTCTGTGTGGGACTTCTCCTGTTCCACATGTGCAGCTTTCTGCCACACGACGTGCTTTTAGAGGCGGCAGCATCCACAAAGGCAGAACATCCACAGGGAAAGCCTCAATGTCAGTCAGGGAACACCACAAAAAACGCATTATTGACACTCTCACCTGAACATATAACAAGACTAGCGGGACACAAAGGAAGCTGCTGTTTGCGAAGACTTTGACAAAGAGGAAGCAGGGCGAATATATTAGGAGGTTTTTACACTAACAGTCATTAGGTCCATGGCTACCAGCAGCACTCCCACAGGGCGCTGCCATGAGTCTGTACACATCAGTCAATAAGAAGAATGCCTACATCATATATGGAGGGTCAGCATCCATGCTTTAACTTGTACAGTCATGTCTTTGGGTAGATAAAGCCAAGCAAGGCATAAAAGAAACTATGGCATGAGTTCCACAATGTATAATAGCATATGTGTTGTATATAATGTAGGTAGGAGATGATTTGTCATCACAATTTTTCCACACTGCTCCTCATGTGTTATACAGATGCAAAGGGCCATAGTTATTAGGCATATTTTACCCCTGCATCACGAGTTAGTTATGCAGGGATTCAAGAAAGCATCGAAATGTTCAAACAAAAGTTCATAATGAAGTAGTGGTTTCATCCAATAGTCATATCTCATTCCAGGCAATATGTTAAAATAAATTTGAGTGAATCCAGAACAGAAGGGGATCTTTGTACATTTCACACAACAGATGGTATGCTTCGCCCAAAAGAAAGTTGCAGAATTTACATGCTAGTGGGGAAAAAAAAAGCATACTGCTATCAGTACTATTATCTATCAGGAAAGTACCGTTAGTTTTTAAGGGCTCTTCAGGCCCCCATATCAGTCGTCAAATCAACCTTCAACCTGTAGTCACAGCACCTAAATAATATTTAACATGTGAAATCAGTTACACCTTAAAGTCAGTAAGGCCTTTGAACACCTTCAAAGGCCCTTCTAGGTAAGAGAACAAAAAATCTAATCTAATCTAGTTCTGTGTGTGAGAATGCCTCTGTGGTCAATACAGTTCTCATCAAGCTCCAGGTTCAGGTTCAGTGGTTAACAGAGGAGCTACATGCAGCATGTTTTGTTCAAAGTTACACAGTTTGTGAATGTCTGTAAACTAAACTAACTAGTGTACGTTTTCTAAAACCTTGAAGGAAGCCTTTGTGATTTGTTGTTTTGAGTTTATTTCAAAAAGGACATTTGTTAGATAATATTAACCTAAACATATTAACACACAACTGTGCGCTTGTTATTGAGACAAATGTGTTTACATTGCAACTCCTACATCAGTCTCTCAGATCCTGTCTGAGTCTTCTTCATGATCTTAGCTTCAAAACACCACGAGGAAACATTTTTTCCTGTCCAGGTCCATGTATTTTACACTGTCTTAGATATTATTTGTTGTATGTCTGTGAAGTCTAGACACTGGTAGCATTTTGCAGCCCCCTGGAAGTTGATTGAAAGTTTTTGATTTACATCCCTGGTTCCTGTCCCAGAGGTCACATGGTGCAGGACTTGTCCAGAGGGTCCTGAGGAGATGTAGCCGCAGGCTGTGAGACCTGGCTAGACTTGGGCAGGACCATGGGCTTGGGCCTCAAGGCGGGGGGTTTGAGCTGCACCCCCATGCGGGGCGCTACCAGAGGCTTGAAGGTGCTCATAGTATCGCTGGAGGAGCTGGTACTGCGGCGGATGGGTGGCTCAGTGTTGGCAGTGGACCTCAGCATGACGCCGTGGATGGGGCTGAGGGACTCGCTGGAGCTGGCTGGCGTGGGACCCCCGCCGCTGCTGCCGGAGGTCTGCCGCTGTTCCAGGGTGTCCAGCACCACATCAGGGGCGTGCTTGGCTGAGCTCTGGCGCTCCAGCTCACGCAGCTCATTCAGAGCAGTGTTCATGGTTTCTTCTATGTCCTGCAGGAGACAGAGAGAGTATATGTGAGAGGGGAAGGGGGGGGGGGTGCGGAAGGATGACGATAACATTGGTGAGAGAGAAGAGGGATAGAAAAGAAGGTTGGGGTTAAAAATGAGAAAAAACTAAAAGAGAAAGTTGGAAGGAGAAATCAAAAGAGTGAGAAAGAAATGACAGACGGTAGAGAGAAGGTAGAGTGCAGTATGGTAGGAAACATAAAAAGCGATGTTAACAGAGGAACACAGTGACAGTTTTTTAAGAAAACACCATGCATGCATTATACATGCAGAGAGTTAGTAAAGAGTATTACTTTGCACCAGCACCTCTCCTTCTGCATGCTAATGACTTCAGGTAGCGAAGGAGATGCAGAGATGACAAGATATGTTCATCTGAGCATGTTCCCAGCAGACAGACAGCCCAGCACAGTGTAAAGTGCTCTGTGACCTTTCTAACTGAGGCCCTATAGAAGAGCCTTTCATGGCTTTACTATTCATAAATATGTGACAACAGTTAAATTAAAGCCACGGCCTTCCTATCAGCAGTGACACAAAAACGGATGGCGGCTTGAACATAAATGTTTACCAGTAAGGGATCAATGTATTTTTGTAATAGCTTTTGTATGCTCACAAGCAAGACTAACAGTTAATATAATGTGATGAATCCCAACGTCAAGCTATGCTCCCTGCTGTCTGCCTGTGAAGCTAGTCTTTTGTGTATTTAGCACACAGACACAGATGCAGCCAGAGGAAGCAGAAGACAGGGACTGACTATGTTTTTACAGGGCGGGGCAGGGCTTTGATGGTGGAGGGAGCTGCGGTCGGGTCGCCGCTCGTCCCGCGCTGACCTGTGCGATGGTCTCCGGATCCAGGGGTTTGCCGCCGTGGTGGTGGTGGCCGTCAGTAAAGCCCGTATACTGGCCCGAAGAGGTAGAGCGGCGGATCGGTGGGCTCTCCATCTTCTTCAGCGACTCGTGGCGGCTGATGTTAGTCAAACTGCCGTGGCCAGTGCGGCGACGACGTTCAGGGCTGTCCATAGGCATGTTGCGACTCCGCAGCATGTCCCGTGGGCTGAAGTGGCCTAGAACTGGGGAGCCCATCTCTGGGGTGCCTCCATGTCCTCCATGACCATGCTGGGAGGGATGCACCATGCAGTGGACATCGCTGGGGCGGGCAGGGGGCCGCCGAGATGGTGGTTCTGATCTTTTCTTGTGCCTGCTGGGATAGAGGAGAGGGATGGAGAGGAAACAACAAAGGGGAAACATTTATTTATCGAGTTAAGCATTTTTTCTTTTTAATTACAATTGTGCCATCTTGCATCTCCCAAATGTAA